AAAGAACTAAAGCCATTCCGTAGTCAATTTCTACAGTGCCACGAATGACGGAGAAAAAAATCTTCCTTCACCTACAGCTGTTTAGTCCTGCAGAATCAGCTGAAGGCAGCTTCGAAATCACGTGATTCGGGGGGTGGGGGGGGGAAGACATGTCTACTTTGATGATTCAAACAGAGGCAGCTTGTCCCTCTCTCACATTTTTGAAAATACAGGTAGTCCTGTAGACAGTTCATTTTGTGGCCCTTCAAAGTTAAAACAGTACTGAAAAAAGTGACATGATCATTTTTTCACGCTTACAACTATTACAGAATCCCCATGATCACAAGATCAAAATTTGGCCGCTTGGCAACTGACTCATAGTTATGACAATGGCACTGTCCCGGGATTATGGGATTCCCTTTTGTGACCTTCTGACCAGCGAAGTCAATAAGGGAAGCCAGATTCACTTAGCAACCATATTACTAACTTTTAACAGTTACAGTGATTCACTTAATAACTGTGGTAAGAAAGGTCACAAAATGGGGCAAAATTCACTTAACATATATTTCACTTTAGCAACAGAAATGTAGGGTTCAGTTGTGGTCGTAAGTCAGGGACTACCTGTACCACTTCTGAAAGTTTTGGAAGTCTTTTTTGGAAGAGAATTGTCTCCCAAGTGCGAATTCTACATCTCTGTCATGTCTGAGCTCTACTTGCAGGGATTCATTTCCCCCTAACACATCATTCTGCTAACCCTTGTTCAGTGGGTTAATCAATTCCTGACTCTGTCAACAGCAGGGTGAAAGTGAAAGTCCAAGCAAGGCTGGAATAGACTGCCGACATGTCCAGTTGGCTGGAAATCCATTGAACTTGCTCTAGATGACTAGGCAAGCCCATACAGTCCTTGCACATCCATGTAATTGTAAAAAGAATGCTGGTGAATGAGAAGGAGTAGAACATGGTCTTCATGCTTCTTAGGAGGAGGAAGAACCATCTCTTCAAACCTTTGGAGGGGATGAAGCTCCTGCCTTTTGACCTCATTCTGTGTTCATCGGCTCCATCCATCTTCTTTCCAATTCTGATCTTAGGGAGTTTCCTTTTTTTTCTTTCAGCCGGATGCCACCGATATTAAAACTGGATATTTGTCCATCATAATGGACCCAGAGGAGATGCCCCTGGATGAGCAGTGCGAACGTCTACCTTACGACAGCAACAAATGGGAGTTCCCAAGGGATCGGCTGCGGCTGGGTATGTGGGATCTTGGGAAGCTTCTGTGTTGGGGGGGGGTGTGACCTTGAATGGAATGAGACAACTTGGCGTGACCAACTCGCCGCAGCCAACTCACCCCTGGAGAACTCCCTGTGGGACAATTCGACAATTCAATTTAAGTATTTAAAATAATTCAAACATTACTTTAGCTTTTGTCATTCACATTTCATTTTGTCCCTCCTTTTGCATCCTTTCTTTAATGATTCCGTTCCACCATTTCCTTGGTATTAGCGTAACTCTCGTTCTGTGGCAAGTTGTCCCAGAGAGAGTAACTTGGCCACAATGAGTTGGCTGTGCCAAGTTGTCTTTGACCTGACCTTGAATAGTGCTGGATTGCTGCCTAAGTCTCCCTTCCAAGAATTCCTAACAACTCTGCTGGCTGGCAATTTGCAGTTGTAGTTGAACACATCTGGGATTGATTTGACAGCTAATAGTCTATCTGTACGTCATTGGATTCGGCACAACGATAAAGACTTGGATCCATTGTTTACAGGAGAGGTGGTCAGCCAGATGATTTCCAGATGTTTTGCATGAATGATGATGGGAATTGTCATCCCAAAACATTTGAAAGAGACCGTGTCATCTGTCTCTGTCTAAGGGATGTCTTCAGCTTCATGCAGAATAGATTTGTTAGACCTCATCTCTGCCTTGAAGGACATAGAATAAAATTCCTTTCCATGCGATAGAGATGACAAGGTACAGGTAGTCCTCGACATACAGCCACAGTTAAGCCCAAGAGTTCTGTAGTTAAGTGAGATATTTGTTAAGTGAATTTTGCCCCATTTTACGTCCTTTCTTGCCACAGTTATTAAGTGAATCACTGCAATTGTTAAAGTTAGTAACATGGTTGTTGAGTGGATCTGGCTTCCTTTATTGACTTTGCTTATCAGAAAGTCACAAAAGCTAATCACATGATCCCGGGACACTGCAGTCGTCATAAATATGAACCAATTGCCAAGCATCCCAATTTTGTTCATGTGACCATGGGGATGGTCGTAAGTGTGAAAAACAGTTGTAAGTCACTTTTTTTCAGTGCCATTGGAGCTTTGAACTGTCACTAAACAAATTTTTGTAAGTCAAGGACTACCTATATCTATTTCATATAGGTAGTCCTCACTTAACAACCAGACGCTTAGTGACCATTCAATGTTATGACAGATCTTCCCTGAACTACTTATAACTCAGTTTAGAAGTTCGGATGTCCACCGCCACACACATACACAACGGTCATGTGATTATATTTTGGGTGCTTGGCAACCAACTCTCATTGGTTGTTTGCAGCATCCCATGGTCACATGACCAGGGTTTTCTTTCTTTCTTTCTTTCTTTTTTTTTTTTTTGCCAGTTTTGAGCATTTACTTTCAGGTAAAAAGCATCCGTTGAGGAAAACTAACATCCACATTCACTGTGGCATTTGCTTAATGGCTTCTGCAAAATTCATCAGGCATGCTCATGTGGTGACCTGCTTAATGACCACCATAACTGACGACCATAATTCTGGGTTTAATTTTGGTCATAAGTCATAAGTCGAAGACTACCTGGCCTCGTTGCCCACTTTTCTTTTTTTAAATGAAATTTTAGTGAGTCCAATGTGTTTTCTATTTCAAGCACAAATTCAGTCTCTTACTCTGGTGAACAATTCATGTATTCATAAATCGAAAGTCATTCTTTCCAGCCAGAGTGAACCTGATATGGGTCATAAAGTTTTTATGAAGTATCTCCAAATCCCATAATATTCTGCAGAGTGCAAAAGGCTAAGAATCATTTTTCAATCATTTGTGGTTCACTAATTGTAACACAAAGATTAATCCTGGGATTTTATCCAATCCAGCAGTCTCTGTTTTTCAAAAAAAACCACTTCTTCTCAATGAAATGTCAGCTTGCTATAATACTTTCCCATTGTTAAGCGTCCTTAATATGTTAATACTTGGCCCATGAATTTACTATTCCCAATGGATGTAAAAACATTTTAGATCTACCTGATTACCAATCTTTGGTAGGAGGAAGAAGAGGAGGACTAAAAACAAAATTATTTCACTGAATAATAAAGGGGTGCATGCAAAGCTTTTCAGCAATGCACAATTTTGCAAGCTTTTCTGAATTTTGGAAATGATTCTGGTTTTTATGTTCCCTGAAATGTACGAACCTTTGTTTTTGTGTCTTTTTCTCTCTGTGTATTGTATTACTTCATATGTTTATAAATTCAGTTTATACATATGTTCTAACATGTGGTGCAGAGTTTCTGCTGCATGTTATCGGGACTGTAATAGTTTGCAAAAAAACCAAATGGAATGGATTCTCTTGCATGCATTTTTTACATCAATATGGCAATTCTTTGCAAATTCAAAGAAAGTACAGACTGGGCTGTTGGGAGCAGAACCCATCTTTCTGAGCTTCCTTCCTCCCTTCCTTTTCTGGAAAATATTCACTGTTTGGTTACAAAGTATACCGATGAACCTTCAAAAAGAAATATTCAAAGGCAAAAAACCTAAGAAATTTTGGGGAGAGCATTCTGCCATGTTGTTGGCTTCCACAATCTAATAATCATCTGAATTTTTTTAAAAAAATCCATTTTATTATGCAACCTATTAAAAATGCATACAACAGCAGGGAATGATCAACACAATCTCAAAATTAAAATATAGAGTAATGAAAAATAAGAAAAAAAGGAACAAAGGCAAGTCATGCCTGGATATTATGGTGTTTACATCTTAATGATGTTTATATCACAATGTTTCCTTCCTTCCATCTTTGAATAAACAAGGATGATTTTCTTTTCCCCAGCATGATTAGAGATTTATATTTGAAAGTGAGACATCTTCAGAAAAAAAAATGTCAAGGGTTATTTCTGCAAAAGCAAGAATCAATGCTGCGAAACGGGGGCGGGGGGGGAGGGGGGGGCGGAAGAAGCAATAAATTGTGCAAAACAAGTGGAATTAGAGGAATCTTTTTCACTTTGTAAATCTGTTTTTGCAGAACAAGCTTCTTTTATGCTAGAACTGGAATGTTGCAAAGCAGGATCCTCCGTTGGTTTTGCTACACCCAAACTTGCTTCGGAATGGGACAACTCGCTGAGGGGATAACTCACCACAGGACAATTCAATTATTCAGTTTAATGATTTAATTTTTTAAAAATGTTTGTCATTCACATTTCATTTTGTCCCTCCTTTGGCATCCTTTCTTTAATGGTTATATCCCATCACTTCTTCAACCTTAGTGTAACTCTTGTTCTGCAGCGAGTTGGCCATGGTGAGGGGTCTCACCACGAGTGTTTGTCCCAGGCCCGCTTCCTTCTCTTCAGTGCCTGGGGTTGTGGGTGCTGTCCGGGCTCACTCTTTCCTCTTGCTTCTCTAGGTAAAACTCTGGGTCATGGTGCTTTTGGCAAAGTGGTGGAAGCATCTGCTTTTGGCATAGATAAATCTTCAACCTGCAAAACAGTGGCTGTCAAAATGCTTAAAGGTACACTTCTCTCAGACTCCTCAACAGTTCCTTCGGAAACCCAAAGCCGATTGTGTCGCTTGTGTCACAGAAACATTGCAGTTGAAAATAGAATAAGGAAAGATGGTGTTTGTTTTATTATTCTTCCCTCTCTCTTCCTTACGGTAACTCTGGAGTGGAATGGGCAATATGGCCTCTGGCACTTTGGTGCCTACCGTTATGTCCTTGAGTATCCTGCCTGATTTGGCTGTATTGTTTTTCAGTAGCTTTCATTTTTTAATAATAACTTCTATTGCATTCTGAGCTTGGTTGTTTTCTTGCAGACATTTCATTACTAGTTAACATCATTCGTGCTAGTCAGCTAGTCAGCCTTAGAACTGATTATGTTGTTACCTAATTGGGTCATGAAACATCTGCAACAAACAACTCAGAGAGCACCAAGGAGCCCTCATTTCAACCCTGAGCTACAAATATTTTCTCCTTTACTGGAATTTTTGTTGCAACATAAAAATGCAAAGGTAAAAAATTAATCCAAACTAAGAAAAAAAATAAAAAGTACAGAAAGAAAAAAGAGGGAAAGGAAAAGTCATATAAAGGGGAAAAAAGATATATGAAGAAATGACTTCCTCCTTCATTGAGAAAAGTACAAAGCAATTTCAGTAGCTTATCACCTTCTCTCACATTTATGCCAAAAAATCTCTTCATCCCACATTTTCAGTAGCTTTCAGTGGGGGGGAAATGTAGGAAACTAACGTCAGCCTTGCCACATTTTAAAAAGAATTTACAGTTGTGTTTTTGGAACCTACACAAGACTTTCTCATAAATAAAAATACTAGGTGACTGAAGGGCTGGCATGATAGCAGTGTTCCAATATTTGAAGGGCTGCCACAAAGATGAGGGGTCAGCCTATTCTCCAAAGCAACAGAAGGCAGGGCAAGGAACAATGGATGGAAAGTAGAGAAGCAACGTAGAACTAAGAAGATATTTAAATATTTCCTAACAGCGAAAACAATTAACCAAAACAATTAACCAACCTTGCCATCACTGGAGGCTTTTAAGAAGAGACTGGACAGCCATTTGTCTGGAATGATATAAGGTCTCCTGTTTGAGTTGGACTAGAAGACCTCAAAGGTCCCTTCCAACTCTATTATTCTGTTAGGTTTGCTGCTTCAATTGAAGGACCATACACAGAAAAAAGGTGGGTCGGGAAGACATCATTCCAGGGAGATAGAAGAGGTAGTTTTCTCTCAGATATTTTGAGACTGGACACATCCACCCTCTAACCTTCCTAGAAACAACTAGCTCTTCATCATGATAACCATGCCAAGAAAGCATTCTAAGCACGGTCTCCATTTAAGAGCACCCATTGGTATAGTTTTCCCCTTCTAGGTCTGCAAGTCATGGCTTTTTGCCTCTTCCCAACCCAACATGTAAATAATGTGTGATGGCAGGTGATATAATGCCAGGTACCATAATGGCATCCATGCAGACTTGGATTCAAGACTGATTTTATTGCTCTCAGCCAGATGCTGAAACTTCCAGGGCATCTGTATTGAAACTGATCCTGAATCCATTGATGACTCTGAAACCTCTAGCTTTGAATTGCTGACATGATGAAACTCTATTGCCATGGTTCCTTGTCAGTGATGTCCTGTACAGGTCAGCCTCCAAAGGGGCAACATGAAGTACCTTGTTGAGTTGGCCACTAGGGATGCCTATGGGTAGAGCTTCTCTAGAAAGCTCACAAGGACACTCTCTGCCCAAAGCACATGCGTGTTGGCCTGAGCTAATGGACAGGAGCAGGTTCTGCATGCACAAGATCCAAGTTTAGCTTCTAGCATGCCAGAGGTTAGATCAGTGTTTTTCAACCTTGGTAACTTGAAGACGTGCAGACTGCAACTCCCAGAATCGGTTGGCTGGGGAATTCTGGACGTTGATGTCCACAGGTCTTCAAGCTGCCAAATTTGAGAAACGCTAGGTTAGATGCTGTAAATATGTCCAGCCAATCAGAGTTATTCCCTCGTTTCCAACATACTGCATTAACAAACATACAGAGAGATTCAGCAAACTGAGTGAAGCTGGAATAAAAATCCTCTTGTTTCTTAATGACTGAAAGGGGTTCAGTGTTAGAGAGATTAACAAGTTAAAGCAATTTAGTGGCAAACCACAGAATCACAGGGCTGGAAGAGATCTTGGAGATCTTCTAGTCCAAATCCTGCCCAAGGCAGAAGATCTTGTAAAGAAATCTAGCTTAGCATGGAAGCAGCCCAAACAATGAATGGTAGATGATCAGTCAAAGGTATGTATCTTTTCTACTCATATGGATGAATTTCTAGTAGTCTAAATACCTTAACCCTTAAGTATTTAAAGAAATAAGAAAGGAAGTATGTTAAGGATGCGGAGCACAAACCTTGCCAACATAAACAAATTTATTTTCTTTCCGGTGACAAGATTTGAGCCATCTGGAATCAACTAATGACATTTACATACCAGGTCTCTCTTCAGATACTTGATGAATAAATACACTGTTTAGCATATTAATTGCTTGGAATAGTAGGTTTTAAAATATATTGTGGGTTTTTGTCAAACTAGATGAGGGATGGACTGATTTCTTTCATCGCTGCAATTAATTACATTTTGTTGTGAAGCCTCTGTTGCTTCACAATACAAAACCTCTAGATGTTAGCACAACTTTTGGTCAGTCATCTGCTCATCCTTATCTAATATCCAATAACTAAGAGGTTGTCACAAAGAAGAGGAGTCAAGGTATTCTCCAAAGCACCTGAAGGCAGGACAAGAAGCAACGGATGGAAAATAACCAAGGAGAGAAGCAATCTAGAAATAAGGCGAAATTTCCTGACAGTCAGAACAATTAATCAGTGGAACGCCTTGCCTTCAGAAGTTGTAGAAGCTTTTAAAAAGAGTCTGGATCACTAGTTGCTTGGAATGGCATAGGGTTCACTGCCTGAGCAGAGTATTGGACTAGAAGTCCTCCAAAGTCTCTTTTCGGCTCTGTTATTCTGTTGTCCTTTTATGTATAATCCAAATTTCTTTGAACATTCCAATTTTCTTTCCAAGAGGATCAGGAATAGCCATTATTCTCTATTTAGCACTATTTTCAATGGTCCTTCCCACATTTTTCTCCATGATTTGGAATCATCCCATATGGAAGAACACTCTGGAGAAAGTCGTCCTACAACTTGCCAAATGTATGAATTGTTTGATAAATGTTTCTAAGGAAAAAAGCAGTTCTCAGCAGCCGCTGTCTTTAGCTCTTTCTTGGAAGTCATCGGTATGAACAATCTTTATGGTGAGAAACTGAGCTATTATGGGATTATGTTGCCAGAATTATTGTTAATATTTCAAATCCAAGAACAGGTGTATAATTGGTGCACTCCTCAGCCTGCTTTTGGTCTAATTTAAAAGGCCACTTTCAAGAAAGCAATTTTCTCTACAAGTGAAATAAGGAACAATTTGTTTAAGCTTTCTGCATGGAGAGGAGGAGAGAGGCAAGGAGAAACATCTAAAGAGAGAAAGAGGATGAGAGACAGAGCTAAAGAAATGTGCCAGAAACCAAGGGAGTAAAACAGAATAACAAAATAGAAAAGGACCTTGGAGGACTTTTACAACAGGAGACCTCTACCACTCCAAACAAATGGCTGTCTAGTTTCTTCTTAAAAGCCTCCAGTGGTGGAACACCCACAACTTCTGTTTCACTGGTTAATTGTTCTCACTGCTAGGAAGTTTCTCTTAATTTTAAGTGGCTTCTCTCCTTGATTAATCTCCATCCATTGTCTCTTGTCTTGCCTTCTGGTGCTTTGGAGAATAAGTTGACCCCCTTTTCTTTGTGGCAACTCCTTGGATATTGAAAGACTGCTATCATGTCACCTCTAGTCCTTCTTTTCACTAGACTAGACATACTCAATTCCCGCAATTGCTTCTTCACATGCTTCCATTTTGAAATGGGCTCCTGCCTTTGCTTAATTAAGTTTCACTAATTATGGCCATATTTTGCTAGTAGACCTACCCAACTTCAGTTCTTGAGTCTGTATTTAGCCTTTCCTCAAAGTCTTGAGTGGACCCCCAAAGTTGTTCTGGATGGTCGTACTGAACTGTAAACTTGAATGGAAATTAATCATGTCAATGGTATGCAATGAAGGAGATTTAATTCAAGAGTAAATGAAGAGAAGCCAAATTGTAATGTAAACCATTATGGGACTGAATTAGCAATAATGAATAAAATTCAAGCAATGAATGAAGTTGGTGTTCCTTTCCACCAAGATTGACTCAATCCACCTTGTGAATGGCTGAACACTCTGATCTCCTGGGGAGATCTGGACTGTCCTGGAAATCATCCTGATCTTCAAGACAGCCTCTAAAACCAAGTCTCTAAATGTTTTGGGTATCTCCATCCATCCAGATTATTTCCAATGGTATGTAGACCTCTAGAGGACAAAAAGTTTTTAGCTTTTAGAACTTCTGTAGTTGATGAATGGTCAGCATTCTGCTGTGTTGTTCTAGCAGGAAATTGGGAGCAGAAAAGGTTTTCCAAAATAGCTCAACTTCTCCTTGCAGATAAGAACCTTGGAGAAGATCAAGGCAGGAAATTGTGCCTTATCAGATGAGAAATAATACACAGAGACCTAAAAGAGATCAGGGCGTACTTTGTTTTTTCCCATGGCGATGTTTGCTTCCCTTTCAAACATAAACAGGATTCGACTCTTCCCATTGCTGATATCCTGTGGTATAAACATGCTTGTGTCCTCTTTCTCAAGCAGAGTGTGCAACGACCAATGAGTGCAAGGCCCTGATGTCGGAACTGAAGATCCTGATCCACATTGGACATCATCTAAATGTGGTCAACCTACTGGGGGCTTGTACCAAGCCTGGAGGTGAGTGTTAGCTCATTCCTTGGTTCTGTAACTTGAAACAAAACCCCAAACTTTCATATTATTTTTATTGATTTTTATTTCTGTCCTGCCTTTATTTTTACAAATAAGGCAATGAATATATCCAAAGCACCTTCCTCCTACAATTTTCCCCACAACTGTGAGTTGGGTTGGGCTGAGAATCAGAACCAGAATCACAATAGAGTTGGAAGGGACCTTGAAGGTCCTCTAGTCCAACCCCCTGTTCAAGCAGGATACCCAATACCATTTCAGACAAATGGCTGTCCAGTCTCTTCGTAAAGTCCTCCAGTGATGAAGCACCCATAACTTCTTGTGGCAAGCTGTTCCACTGGTTAATTGTCCTCGCTGTTAGGAGGTTTCTCTTTAATTCCAGGTCACTTTTCTCCTTGATTCGTTTCCATCCATTATTTCTTGTCCTGCCTTCTGGAAAATAAGTGTCAGCGGTCCAAATAACAAAAACAGAATTCCAAGGCAGGTAAATTCCTCAAAGAACATGTTTATTGGACACATCATATCAGTACAGCTAGTGAAAACCAACTCTAAAACTTCCCACAGTTTTCCCCCTAATTAAAAGAGTAAATATTTCCCTTCCCAGATGTCACCAGTCATATTGTCAATGAAGGTAGCTGTCAGACTGATTGGCCACTCTTCTCCCCCTTCAACTGTCACTTGTTGGGATGACCTTGGTTCCCACAAGAAAACTTTTTGTTTTGACTGTCAGCCAGTCTATCTACTTTCCCCTCTTTTCCCCCTCTCAGGGTTTGTGGCAATTATGAGGCAGCAAAGCCACCTTCACTTCAGAGGTGATCATAAGTTGACCCCATCTTCTTTATGGCAACCTCTCAAATACTGGAATATTGCTATCATGTGCCTTCTAATCCTTTTTTTCTCAAGACTAGCCAAACCCAATTTCTGCAAATGACTAATGTAGGACTTAGAAATCAGTCTACAAACCTGTACCGAAAGGAGGATTCTCCCTATAGGTGATGAATTAAACAACATTAAGGTGGGGTCCTGCACATACATGCCAACCTTTCTGTCAGAGAAGCCCATTAAAAGGCAGCCCCCACTGTTTATAAAGCATTCATAAAGTATTTATGAGGCCCATTGTACCTGAATGAATATATCTCACAATGCAGCCAAGATCTAGCTGAATAAGTACTGCTGCAGAGAAAGAGGCATAGGACAATTGCATTCTATACAGCAGATTTTTTGAAACGCAATTTCTTTAAATACATAGCAACTTTCATAAATAGACCAAACTGGGATCCTCACCGTTAGACTAGAACGGAGGTGTGTAATAATAATACTTCTTTTTCTTCCCAATATGATTTTCCTGTTGAAAATGATAGAGTTAAGACAACTGTGGCAGGCAATGGCATTGTGGTGGTGGAAGTAAGCAGGAGAAATGTCCCAAGTTGGAGGGCTGATTTGTTTTTCCAACAGTGTTTTTTCTTGGGGGGGGGGGGAGTTCCTCGAATTACCCTCTATCAAGAAAAGGAGTCATGGATTGTATGCATAGCTATTTCAAAGCTAGTTCAAAGCTGGTAACTCTAGAAGAGAAGAAAGGTAGGGCATAGAATGTAGAATCATAGGACCGGAAGGGACTTTGGAGGTCTTCTAGCCCAACCCACTGCTCAAGCAAGAGATATTCCACACAAACAGCTCTCCAGTCTCTTCTTAAAGACTTCCATTGTTGGAGCACCCACAACTTGTGCAGGCAAGCCTTTCCACTGATTAATTGTTCTCACTCTCAGAAAATTTCTCAGAAAGAAAGAAAGAGAGAGAGAGAGAGAAGGAGGGAGGGAGGACCACAAACCCTGGCACTAGACACAGCTTTAGAAGATGCTTTGAAACAGCACTGCAATCCAGGGCTAGAAGGGACCTTGGAGGTCATCTAGTCCAATCCCCTGCTCCAAGAGCATTGTTAAAGTGAGTTTCTCTCTTTTAACCCACCCAGTCACATGACCACATAGCCATGCCCACCAAGCCATGCCCTCCAAGCCACACCAACAGAACTGGTAGTACAATTTTTGTGAATCCCACCCCTGGTTTATCCTCCAGACCCCTGTTCATCTTTGTTGCTCCTCTCTGCACACCAAGATACGATAAGATATGGAACCAAGACACTTTATTTTGAGAAACCTCACCTGAAACTCCTGGGGGGGGGGTGTTTCCAAAATCTCTCCTTTCTCCTTCTTCTTGCCATCACAAACAAGAATCCTTTGGGGCATTCCCAAAACCTCTGCAGGATATGTTTAATTAAAGTCATGATGTTGTTCTCACAGTGAGTTTCATTCAGAAGATCTAGAATGGAGGAAAATTACTTAATGGTCATGCAAAACAATTAGAAGAGCAGGAAAATATTTTGATTGGCCAAAATAGGAGAAAGTAAGCCCTGAAAATTAGTATTAAATGCAGTTCTACTAAAATCACTACATTAGGAAACAATTGGCATTCAGTTTTATATAAGTTACATTCAAAAACCAAAATAGGGTAAATGCAAGGGAGGAAATAGAGTGAACCAAAGAAATAAGAATCAAAATATGAGCTAGTTAAGGTAAGCAGGGTTTTTTTCCATGCCTTGGGCTGCACTTGGCTTATGCAATGCAAGATGCATTCTGCAAGAGTCAATAGGAAAGGAACATAAAGTATATTTAATGGTTATGGGGAAATGATTCTCCGGGCATTTAATCATTTTCCTTCCTATCACATTTTAAATTCCAATTTGGCCACAGACTTTGCAGGTTCAGGGTTCATGTGCAGCCTTAGGGCTCAGGCTGCACACCATGATAATGGACAACTTGCTAGTGGCAAACAAAAAACAAAACAAAATCACATAATTTAAGGAAGTTGAGTTTTTTTCTCCTATAAGAAGAAAACTTTGTGACAGGTGAGCTGTTAGCAGTCTTCCAATATCTCAGGGCCTGCCACAAAGAAGAGGGAGTCAAGCCAATCTCCAAAGCACCAGCGGACAGGAGAAGAAGCAAAGGAGGGAAAATAACCAAGGAGAGAAGCAACCTAGAACTAAGGAGAAACTTCCTGACTGTGGGAACAATTAACCAGTGGAACGACTTGCCTTCAGAAGTTGTGGCTGCTCCGTCACTGAAGGCTTTTAAGAAGAGACTGGAAAGTCTCTTGTCTGGAATGGTATTGGGCCTCCTGATTGAGCAGGGGGCTGGATTAGAAGACCTCCAAAGTCCCTTCCAGCTCTATTATGATTGATCCATTCCCATACAACTACAGGGTGACTCCAGATTCCCCTTTGCAATATTGATTGGATATGATACAGATAGGATATCATAGGAAAAAAACAATTTGCTGGGATTTGGGCATTGCACGAATTTAGTAAATAAATAGTTAACTCTGCAGTTGAACAATCATTTTGAAGAGATGGACATGACCATGTTACTTTGTTGGCAATCATATGGACAGGATTTGCCATCAACCTCTTTTGGACCTCCTAATCTAAGGTACATAGGAGGATTTCCTGGCTGCTACCTGCTGTCATTTCTTTCATTTTCATATAGTTAATGACAGCTATAATTTGAGGATTGAATTTAGTATAGAGCTTGAGGCATTGGGCTAGAAACCAGGAGACTCTGCGCTTTTTCCTCTCTTAGATACAAAGCCAGTTGGGGGACATGGCTCCAGTCACTTTCTCTCAACCCTAAGAAGGAGACAATAGAAAGTCTCCTCTGAAAACTTGGCAAGAAAACATCAGGAATCAAGACTGACTTGAAAACACCAAAAAAGGACATTTCAGTTTTGGTGATAGCACAAGGATGGGAAGATTCTTAGCCCTGATGACCCCATTCTAGAAGTTTATTTTACCATTAGAATAGAGGTGACTCGCCACTTTGCTTGCTTTCTGTAGAGGAAAAACCATCTCCCTCAAAAAGGATTGTGGAGCAGATAGTAAACCTGGGTTGCCTTTGTGACTCTAGTTGCATTTGCATTGATTTATTATGTAAACCAGCCTGAGTCATGATGTTCCAAGGCAGTACAGAAATAAATAAATGAAAGAATGACTACATGTTGTTAGCTTTGATCTTGGCATCACCAAGGGCTCATTTTTGGATCTCTGCTGACCACTGTTGAAAAAGCAAGTTCTTATCGAGAGGAGAAGAGAGAAATTATATTTATATCTCAGTTGCTTCCCAAGAGTTCAGCATGCTCCTTTCCTTCCTTCATCCATTTTACCGTCACCATATTCCTACATAATAAGTTGAGGTGTGAGAAGTGACTAGCCCAAAGTCAGAGCTAAGTTGCCCAAGTTCCAACATTCAGAGCCAGGATGGACAATATTTTTAACACTTTGACAAGTCAAGAGCAATTAAAAAGGGAACTAAAACAGAAACAAAAATAGATTATATTCATTTGATATCATTCTTTACATATTTAATGAATTGCTCTTTCCATCACAAATAAGCAAACAACTTGACCACAAACTGAAGGTTGGTGCTGGATTCAAAGTGTTTGGGAGCAGATTTCATCTTTGGCGATAGCATCTGAGGGAGGAAAGTCAGCATCATCACACCTTCATCCTTGGAGCTTGGTTGTTTTCATGCATATGTTTCATTACCCTAATTAGGTAATATCATCAGTGCTAGTAGGGAATGGGATTTGCACTGATGCACTAATTTAGGAAATGAAATGTCTGCAAGAAAATAGCTTTGCTCAGAAAGCACCAAAGATCTCACAAATCTTCTCCTTCTCCTTCTTTTCCTTCTCTCCTTCTCATCCATTCTGCAAACTCCACTCCCTTCTAGCAGTGATGATGTTACCTAACTTGGGTAATGAAATCCCTGCAAGAAAACAATCAAGCTTAGAGATCACCAAGGACCCATTTCAACCGTGAACTATAAATATTAGCCATTGTGCCATTTCAATGCAAGCATCAATCCTTCTGTATGTGCGTTGTGATGTTGCAGGTGTGCCCCAATGAGGCTTGTTCTTTTTGACCATTTGACTCATTGACCACCTCATTTCAAGAACCCATGATCCTTAACTAGTGCATCTTTCTACATAACATTCCATTGTTGGAACCAAGATGATTGGGGACTGGAGGCTAAAACATACAATGACTGGTTGCAGGAACTGGGCTTGGCTAGTCTAGGGAAGAGAAGGACCAGGGGAGACAGGAGAGCAATCAATATTTGAGGAGCTGCCACAGAGAGGAGGAAGGGGGTCAAGCTATTTTCCAAAGCACCTGAAGGCCAGACAAGGAATAATGGATGGAAACTGAACAAGGGGAGCTTCAGCCTAGAAATAAGGAGGAATTTTCTGAGAGTGTTGATTCTTCACATTTACCCAGCATCGTCCGTAATGGCTGAAGCTAAACAGCTCTCCTATCTGGGCCAAGTTCTAACATTAGTCTCTTGATTAATGGAAACGATGATGTCTTTGATGGCAACTAATGGTGCTGATTAATCATGTAACTGCTGTTTGTGGGGCAAGGAGGCATGTTCAGAAGGATGGAGAGACAAACTGTAAGACCTTTGATCACTAATAGGGAGAGCAGGGAGGGGTGTAACATCTGCACAAACACCCATCAGCAAGTAAAAACTGGTGTCTGTCCCATTCAACAGGAATTATGGCCAGTAGCCAGTGTGTGTTTCTCACTTCCTGGCCCCAGTTTTCTGATCTTGGATTCATTCTTCTTTTATCCATTGCCCATTTCCTTCTGTGTTTGCAAGAGAGATGTTTACTGGCTTTTGCTTATTCCTATGATGTTCCCATGTGTTATCATTTTGTAAACTTTGTTTTGATCCTGTCTGCAGGTCCTCTGATGGTCATTGTAGAATATTGCAAGTATGGAAACCTCTCTAATTACCTGCGGGGAAAGCGAGGTGATTTCATTGTATGCAAGGTAAGATATGTGCCCCAGTTTCTCGATCTTTTAAAAACTTCAGACAGAAAGAAGCTTCATTTCTGGTCCAAGTGAGGATTGGGTTTGAGTAAATTTATTTATTTGTAAAAACTTTTGGTCACCCATCTTACCTCAAGGTAACTCTGGGCGGCTCACAATCGTGAAAGATAAACACTATAGGTAGTCCTCAACTTACAACAGTTCATATGGTGACCATTCAAAGTTACAACAGCACTGAAAAAAGTGACTTATGACCATTTTTCACACTTATGACCATTGCAGCATCCCCTTGGTCATGTGATTTACATTCAGATGCTTGACAATTCACATTTATGACAATTGCAGTGTCCCAAGATCCTACGATCCCCTTTTGTGATCTTCTGACAAGCAAAGTCAATAGCAATCGCTCTTAGCACTTAGACTTATATACCGCTTTATAGTGCTTCACTCTAAGTGGTTTACAGAGTCGGCCTCTTGCCCCCAACAATCTGGGTCCTCATTTTACCCACCTCAGAGGGAGGGAAGCCTCAGTTAACTCTGAGCTGGTTAAGATCGAACTGCTAGCAGTGGGCAGAGTTAGTCTGCAATACTACATTCTAACCACTGTGTACCATGGATGGATGGGTGGAGGGAAAGAGGGAGGGAGAAAGGAAGAAAAGGAAGAGCAATAGCAATAGCCCTTATATACTGCTTTACAGTGCTTTCTGGCCCTCTCTAAGTATTTTACAAAGTCATCATGTTGCCCCCAACAATCTGGGTTCTCATTTTACCAACCTCAGAGGGAGGGAAGGCTGAGTCAACCTTGAGCCTGGTGAGATTTGAAGTGCCAAATTGCAGGCAGCTGGCAGTCAGCAAAAGTAGCCTGCAGTATTGCACTCTAACCACTGCACCACAATGGCCCAGTGGGGAAACTAAATTCACTTAACAGCTGTGTTACTAATTTAAGAACTGCAGTGATTCACTTAACAAATGTGGTGAGAAAAGTAGTAAAATGAGGCAAATCTCACTTAGAAAATTTCTCACTTAACATAAATTTAGGGCTCAATTGTGGTGTAAATTGAGGATTACCTGTATATAAACTAAAAACATAAATAAGTTAGTACCAAAAGTCAAACACTTTGGGGCAGAAGTGGGATTTGGGATCTGATGTTAATCGATCAACATGTAGGAGATGACTGGGCTGAGCCCGAGGGAGGGGTCAAACATTCCATGAGTCTTGAGTCCCTTCTTGACCACAAGAGCTCCCATTGAATTCCTTTGATTCTTATCTACTGCCAATTTTCATGGGCTGTTAGTAGTTCAGATTCTTGTAGAGACCTTAAGTTTGCAATACATTTTTATACCCATTTGAGCTGATTTCCCTGGCACTTGACACAACCATCTCCATTGTGATGCTTCCCCATTGGAGCCCCAATCTAACTGGCAGAGCCTGGTCTTTAGGCTCTTACGCAAAGTTATGAGGGTCAGCGTCAACCTCACACTGGGGAGTGCAAGATGTTCTGTAGGACAGGCGCAAAGGGACAGACACATCCACGAACACCAGAAGGCATGACGAAAATTCTTTAATTTCACAGCACATGGACAGATTTAACCCTAGTTTCAATTGGGAAAATGGGACCCTCCTAGACCAGGCCAAGTCCAAAAATGCCAGGGAATTTCTAGAAGCCTGGTACTCTGACAAATCAGCTGCCAATAGACACAGAGACATTAACAACCTCTATAGACTGGGCAAAAGAGACAATCAACCAGCCCAAAAGAGAACAAAAGGACTCCAGCCCCTCCCACTAGGAATCAGCACCCAGATCAGCACAGATTAACTCCATGGTCAACTTTAGACCAACAGCCAAGTAAGCAACACCCCAACCCAAAAACTGCCAAAGAGCCATCAGTAAACAGCCTAACCAAAGAATCCCAAAGTCTTCCCCCTCCCACACAGACTGGCAAGACACCAGAATAGAAACAAACAGCCCTCCTTCCTTGCACTGATGATGCTAACTAGTTTGGGTAATGAAACGTTTGCAAGAAAACACGCAAGCTCAGAAGAGCAGCAAGGGAGAGAAGGAATCCACCAGCTGGAATAATTGGGCTGATGGGTCCCAGAGGAAGCATGCTCTACAGCCTGGACCGATGCCACGAAGGGCTTTAAAGGAGATCACCAACACCCAGAAACAGACTGGCCACCAATGCATCTCATAGAACCAGGAGTGTTACATGGGCCAAAGCTAACCATGTATGTCATTTTTTAGACACTAGGAAGACTTTTACTCAAAATGGAAAATTAATCATTTTTTTATATTGCCCTCATGCCTAATTAAGTTGTAGCTAACAAATGAAAACATTCCTGTCAACTGAAATGGATAGTGTGGTTTCAAGATAGGGTGCTAGCTTGATTTATGAGCTATAAGCAAACCATGATTCACTTAAATGGAGGTAGCATGTTATGCAAAAACAGCCACTCTCTTTTGTAAACCCAAGTCTCCTCTTTAGCATGTTGTTTGAACCTGGCCAAAGAATAATAACGGGCTTCTTTAAGAGGTCTTTTTCTTCTCTAGCCACCAGAAAATTCAGACTGTTCAGAGAAAGGATTGAAAGACTCTATCAGTGACTTAACAGAGCTAATTAAGAGGCGCCTGGAAAGTGTGGCCAGCACAGGTAGCTCTGCCAGCTCTGGATTCATTGAAGACAAGAGTTACACAGATTCCGATTCAGAAGAAGAAGGTCAGTGAACACCTACTGGTTCATCGAACATAGAATAATAAAATTGGAAGGGGTGGATCTTGGAGGTCCAATCCCATCCTGGAGCAGGAGGCCTTATCAATTGTCCAGTCTCTTCTTAAAAGTATTGGGACACCCACAACTTCTGGAGGCCAGCCATTCCACTGGTTAATTGTTCTCACTGTTAGAAAGCTTCTCCTTAGTTCTAGGTTGGTTCTCTCCTTGATCAGTTTCCATCCATTGTTTCTAGTCTTGCCTTCTGATGCTTTAGAAAATAGTTTGACCCCCTTGTCTTTCTAGAAGTCCTTCAAATATTGGAAGATTGCTATTATGTCAACCGTAGTCCTTATTTTCATTAGATTAGTCATATCCAATTCTTGTAACTGTTGTTCATATGTTTTAGGCCCCAGCCACCTAATCATCTTTGTTGCTCTTCTCTGCACTCTTTCCCATTTCCAGAAAGTTTGCCCACTTTCTGGTCTCTCTGGATTTCCAGTTTCCCCCTTCTGGTCTACACCAGAAGGGGAAAATCCACCTGCAAATACAGTTTGGGGGAAATTAAAAACCTCCCTTTTAGCAATGTTCTTAGCAAAGATTGGCCTTCTGGTTTTGTAGCTTTTGATCTTGCTACATTAGCCTGTTTGTGGACACATACAATCATCCGGCTGGAAGGAACCTCAGTACAGAACTCTGGCCATCCTATCTAGGTGAGCCTTCACTGTGAAAATACCTCTTTGCACCTCTGGCTCAGATCACCCCTTGCTTTCTCCTAGATGCTGAAGATCTTTATAAGCGACCTCTGACTTTGGAGGACTTGATTTGCTACAGCTTCCAGGTAGCTAAAGGAATGGAGTTCCTGGCCTCAAGAAAAGTAAGTCTTGTTGCAAGAGGTGTCAAAAATTATGGCTGGGTTCACATAACAAGTTAAATTGGTATTTTCCGAACATCACAAAATTCCAGATGTATGGATCTCAACTCTCAATTCCAAGCAACAGGAATGCTGACAAGAAGTCCAGGACTTTGAAATCTATACATCTTGAAAGATGCCAAGTTGAGAAACACTGTACCAGCCTAAACTAAAATGGGTTGGGACCTCATCTCAGTCACTACATTCATTTATTGGGATATTACATATCAATCCAGCCAGTCATCATCCAGAATCATTTTGGACATGATCCTGATTTTCCTCTTGTAATTTCTAGTGCTTTATCATCATGAGTAATCTTTTTTAAATGCCATCCAACATTTCAACAAAGCAGCCGTAGAACTAATGGAGTTCTATTCTTTAGATTCAGACAAGAACTAATAAGTATTGGGAAAACATAATTGTATAAACATCAGGCGGAAGTAATGGAATGAGATTCAGAAGTTGTGACAACAATTTAATTAGCAAAATGCAATCCTGTTTTATATGGAAGTACCATAGGAGCCCTTGAAAGTGTGCATTGCTTGGAAAGGAGTGCTTCATAGGGGTTCAGAAATCAAGGAAGTGCTAAAAATTACACAAAAAATAACACCCAAATGTAGGTAGGCCTGATCCTAACCAACTTGTTCCGCAGTATCCAACCAACCCATTAAGAGTCAATGTATTCCACAATTAAATCTGGAATGTTTCATACATATAGCACGTGATATTCCACAAACTCATTGTCAAAATTTTCCTGATGGTCCTCCTTAAGTTCTCTAAATGTCATAAGATACTGGAGAACTTTAAACTGCAGAAACATCCAGGGACATCCAGGGAGGTGGAGACTAAAAGGTCAAGATGATATCCAAGTGTCAGGTGGTACATGACAGTTTTATCTCTGGCACCCATGAAAAATGACCAGGACTCCAATTGAACAGTCAGAGACACCCTATTCAGGTTTTTCAGACCATCACCCCACACAGAAAATCTTCTTGGTGATGAAAGTCATTTTTTTTCCTGATTTCCTTTTGTTTCTTGTTTCATTCCAGTGCATTCATAGAGATTTGGCAGCCAGGAACATTCTTCTTTCTCAAAACAACGTGGTGAAGATTTGTGATTTTGGATTGGCCAGAGATATATACAAAGATCCTGATTATGTGCGGAAAGGAGACGTAAGTATGGGGCTGGGTGCCCTAAAATCCTTTTCCCAGTTGTGCCCTTTATGTGGTGGAACATGGTCTGGATTCCCAGGAGGGAGGGGCTAATTTTCATGGAACAAAGAGGCAGAGGAGCCTGGAAATTTTGATCAGCAGGAAGAGGTTTGAAATGGTTCCTCTCTAGCAACTCTAGAGCGTAGTTATGCAGATAGTTGCTTTAGTCTGGCAAGAGTCTGTCTATAGGGGGAGAACAATAAGGGAAACTACTCAGAAATAACTCTCTGTGTCGTTCTTGATTCTTCGACCCTGATATCTGACCTCCTTTTGACAGCATTAATGTCACAAGCAAGTACAAAAGGGGTTGAGGTTGCACTGTAACACACCACAATGGACACTGGCCCATCTTGGATACACACAGCAACCTTGTACTTCTTTCCTTTCCCAGGCCAGGCTGCCCCTGAAATGGATGGCTCCAGAAGCGATTTTTGACAAAATCTACACAACTCAGAGTGATGTCTGGTCCTTCGGTGTGCTGCTTTGGGAAATATTTTCCCTAGGTAAGATTGTTTTTTCCTTGCTTGGATTTTAAGTAGAAGAAGTACTTGCGCTTAATATCATAAAAGGCTATCAGAGTGGGACATTTGCTACTGGGAATTAACCAGACCAAACGACAAAAGAAGGCCAATATGCATGTCCCAGGATAATGTTGCAGGATCCAATCTGGGTCAGTCATATGTTTCGTCTTCCGAGCTTTCAGACTTGTACTGAAGCCCATCCTCAGGGAACTTCTCTCCAGCAGAATACATGTGCTCTGAGCTATTCGGTGCGTAGTATTTATGCGGTGCCTGGTTTTGTGTGCGGCTTTTCAGTTGTTGATTGGGGTGTTGATGGCCGATTATTAAGTCGCTGGCTCTTGTTTCCTTGTGCTGTCAAGTCCTCAGCTCAGAACAGCCCAAAGCAGACATTCTGGTGAGAGAGAAGAGTTCCCTGAGGATCGGCTCCAGCACGAGTCTGAAAGCTCAGAAGGCTAATCCGACCCAGATTGGATCCTAAACCACATTTATTTGGAGGGGATCCTTTTCTAGAAGGGAGGCATTTTTCCCTTAAAAGAGTAACAAAATCTGTGTTGCAGCCAATCTGCTGTCAACAGCCTGTTTCATTCATTCCTGATCTGGAGCACTTGATGAGTGTGAACTGCTGCGGACACCCCACCCATGACAATTCCAATGTGGGCTGGTGCTGGACTAGCAGCAGAGAAACCTAAGTTGAGTCCAGCCTCAGCTATGGAGCTGACTTGGGGTCGGGGGTAATCTTTTAACCAAACCATTGTTATTTATTTATGAAATGTATAAACCACTTCAGGCAAAGGGCCCTGATTACTGTACAGGGAACCATAGCAGCACAACCGATGCAAAACAGTGCGGTCAAAGACAATTAAACTAAGACACAGGCTTGCAATAATTATTACTTCTGGCACCAAGAGTTTTGCAGCCATCAAATTTGAAGGCTGTCTGGAACTGGTTGATAAAAACTTCAAAGGCTGCAAGGGTGGGAATGGCTACGGAGGTAAAAGGTGTCTGTCTCCCTGGAAAAAGGACACGATTCTAATACAGGTAGTTCCCCAAGGTGCTTTTTAAAAAAGCAACTGGGTTTTCTTTGTTTTTGCTTGAAGGCGTTTTGCTTCTCATTCAAGAAGCGTCTTCGGTTCTGACTGAATGGTGGAGAATGGAAGGACAAATCCTTCCATTTTCCACCATTCAGTCAGAACTGAAGACGCTTCTTGAATGAGAAGCGAAACATCTTCAAAACAACAACAACAATAAAAAGTGTTTTTTGGGACAAACACAAAAAACCTTTTGGACAACCAAGACCTGGATGACAGACTCTTCATTAGATATCTAATACAGGTAGTCCTTGACTTACAACTGTTTGCTTAGCAACTCTTCAATTTATGATGAATCTCCCTGGGAGTACTTACAACCCCATTCCAGAGTTTTGAGGGTTGCCCCTCCTCCCCACACTTATGACCACGTTTTGTGTGCTTAGCAAGCAGCTCGCATTTAGCAATAGCAAGAGCATTTGGACTTATATACCGCTTCATAGAGCTTTACAGCCCTCTCTAAGGGATCTACAGAGTCAGCCTCTTGCCCACCCCCACCACAACAATCTGGGTCCTCATTTTACCCACCTTGGAAGGATGGAAGGCTGAGTAAACCTTAAGCTGATGACAATCGAACTCCTGGCTGTGGGCAGAGTCAGACTGCAATATTGCATTCTAACAGGCAGGCAGGCAGGCAGGCAGGCAGGCAGGCAGGCAGGCAGGCAGGCAGGCAGGCAGGCAGGCAGGAAGGAAGGAAGGAAGGAAGGAAGGAAGGAAGGAAGGAAGGAAGATGGCAATAGCGCTTATATTTATATACTATTTGAAAGAGCTTTTACTGCCCTCTCTAAGCAGTTTACAGAGTCAGCCTATTGCCCCCAACACCATTTTACCCACCTCGGAAGGATGGAAGGCTGAGTCAGTCTTGAGCAGGTCAGAATCGAACTCCTGGCAGTGGGAAGGCAGAGTTGGCCTTCAATACTGCCTTCTAACCAATGCACTACTACAGCTTGTTTACAGCCATTCGTTGTGTCCCATGGTCACATGACTGCATTTTACAATGTTTTTTTGCCAGAAACTAGCATTTAGTTCCAATTTCCAGTAAAGTGAACCCATAGAGAACAATTGGTTCACTTAAAGACCATCACAAAAAAGTTGATAAATTCAGTTCAGTCATTTGCTTGACCTGCTTGACAACTGCCACAACTTATGACCGTAATGGGCAATCTCCATTACAGTCATAACTTGAGGACCGCCTGCAAATAAATGAAGTTTAGAAGAGCAATTGTAGGGAATTCCTCTGCCCTAGGACTAAACCTGGCATGGACATTTTCATCAGCGTCTCCAAGAGACGTTTTTCCTGTCAGCAACACTACGTAAGTTAGAAGTGTACTATGTGAGAAAATGCAGCCGCCGCCCATCCTGTTGGGTGCTTACTTCAGAAGGAGTTTCCCAGACCTACCTTTTAGCATGAGATGGAAAGTCTAGTAACATCCTGAGCACCGACTCCTGAGTTGTATCAACCAACGTTCTGGCCAAGGTCAAGAGTTGCCTGGCTGGACTCTCAGATGTTCACTCTTGATTCTTGGCTCAGGGATTCTGGGCGTTGAAGTGTGCAGGGTTGTCAAGGGGGCATAGCTGTCTACCCTCTCCTAATTCATGGCTTGCCATGGATCTCAGCCCCAAAGGTTTTTCTCCTATAGAAAGACAGAAGGAAGCAGGAGAGAAAACTCTGCCTTATTCTGCATTATGCTAATTTTTGTGGCATCATCTCTCCCCCAACATTTCTCCCCAAAATGCTGACCCTCTGAAAAATGAAACACCAACAAGACCACATACTAGCTGATGCTCTCGTTATGGAAAATAGGAATCCAGGCCAAGCTCTGCATGTTCTTTTGGCAGAATAGAGATCAAAGAAGGGGAGGGAGAAAACATGCAAGCCACTGAACTTGAAATGGAATTTTTTGTCACATTGGTGGGCAGTTTTAAGTAGCCAGACCCTCATAAAAGGTGAAAGTTTTTGTGATGATTTAAAAAAGAAAAAAGAAATTGAAAACCGTAACAGTCACTTTAGTCCCTGGAGGTTTTCTTTACAGCTGTAGTTGTGGCACTACCTGATCTGAGCTGCAAGTTTCCAGTGCTGACAGGATAGCAGTGTTCCAATATTTAAGGGGCCACCACAAAGAAGGGGGGGTCAACCTATTCTGCAAAGCACCACGAGGTAAGACAAGAAGCAATGGATGGAGACTAATCAAGGAGAGAAGCAACTTAGAAACTAAGGAGAAATATCCCAATGGAGAGAGAAATTAACTGGTGGGAGAGCTTGCCTTTAGAAGTTGTGGGGGCTCCATCACTGGAGGCTTTTAAGA